ATCACCCTTTGATTGTGACTTAGATTTTCCTTGGGTTAGAAAATTTTCTTTTTGCATGTGCACCCAAACCCAATCACCTAGTTTAAAAAAACTCTCTTTCACCCTTTGTTAGCATGAGATGCATACTTTTCTATTTTCTTTTCAATTTGAGTACGAACTATTTCATGCAACTCCTTAACTTACACTTATAATTCTTTGGTCTCTTCGAATTGGTCTTGTATGTCGATCTATTTGGAATTAGTGCTCTAAGAACGAAGTGAATTTGGTGTTCAATTCTCTTTGTTAGCGTCAATCCACTTGGTTCTCTAGGGAACACATCGTTAAACCTATAATAAAGAAATAACAACACTAGGCAAAACATGATTAAATTCCTTAGTATTAAAATAAGCCTCATTGTACAAAAGTACAATCATCGGCTATGGAAAAAAATATGCCCTTTAATTATCACTTTTCGATTGTAAAGAAACTCTCTTTCTTTCTTTATTTTTTTCTTTTGGCTTCTTCTTTCCTTTTTCACTCTTTTTTTCTTCCTTTTCTTCCATCTTGCTCTCGACCTCAACTCTTTTTTCCTCAATTTCTTTTTTAAACTCATTTGATCCTTATAAACTTACCAAGGTGAAAGGAACAAGTGTTACATTTTGTCCCCCTTTTTCAAAAGATTACTTATTCTTAAACTCGTTATGTTTCACTTTCCTATCAGATTGCTAAGGTCTACCTAATAGAATGTGACCTATATGCATTAGCACTACATCAAACAATACCTCATCTTTATACCTCCCAATGGAAAACATAATTAACATTTGTCTATTCACCTTACTTTTCCCAACTCATTCAACCATTGCAACTTATATGGCTTAGGATGTTTAATTACATGTAAATCTAGTTTGTTAACTAGCACAACTACCTCCATCTATTATCAAACTACAAACTTTATCATTAACACAACAAGTAGGTATGAAAAATATTTTATCTTTATGCCTCAACCTTATTTTTCACTTGTATGCATAATGGCTAATGACTCACCAACTATGGGATACTTCTCACCTTCACTCTCATTTTCCGACTTAGACTCATTTTTTGACCACCCTCGGACTCCATGTCCTCATTATTTTTCAACATCATTGCCCTCATTTTTGGACATTGAGAAACAATATGACATCCACCCATGCATTTAAAACATCTAATATCCATATTCCTATTAGATTGGGATCCAGAGTTATCTTTTTCTTAGTTGGGAAACACCTTCTTGCTCGTTAGATGTTTTGGCCTTAGGCTTAAAATCAACCTTCTTCTCTTTACCCCCGTATGCATCGATTTTTGGCATGTATCTTACCATCTCCTTCTTTGCACTCCATTTTGATTTCCATGGTGAAGTAAAACTTGCGGACTATCCTAGCCGAGAAAGACCTCTCCTCTTGATTTGTCTTTCTATTTTTATGGCCATGTGTACTAAATCTTCCAACTCCTTATGATAATCCTCTACAATCTTAAAACCTTGAGTAAGTCCTTGTAATTTTTTATACATATCCCTATAGTAATGATTTGGAACAAACCTCCTCCTCATGATAGCTTTCATTCATTCCAAGTACTAATTGGCCTTTCCTAATTTCTAGCTCCTCATAGTTAACACTAACTAATTTCACCAAATGATGGCATAATAAGTGGATTTAACTCGTAGCTATTTTTACTTTCTTATCCTCGGAATAGTCATGACATTTAAACAACAACTATTCTTCATTTTCCATTCCAAATACACATCTAGATCATTCATATGCTGAAATAGTGGGATATTCATCTTAATACTATTCAAATCTTGATCTATATTATCTCTCCTCATATAATTTCTTGGATTACCTTTATTATTTCATACTCTACCCAAATCATCTTCATTAAAATCATCATCGGTATCATTCACTACTCCCTCATCTTCTAGTTCTTGACTTATAACCCTTCCTACATTAGGATCTCTATGTCTTCACAGACTCATTTATTTCATGCTCATCCATTCTATCCCTTATATCAAACAACACTCTCTCCAACCGCTCATAAGTTTGTTGTATGGCTCGAAATTGGGAAGAAACAACTTGATCACACCCACTTCCATGGGATTTTTATCTTTTGATATGATTGTACTTGTATTAAAAAAATATCAGCAACAAAGAACTTCACAAATAGTCTCTTATGTGTTTCTCTTGAGTTTATGGCACTCGAATGCTTGTGTCCGCTCTTTTTTTTTTTTTTTAAATTTTTTTGCTTTCTTTTAAAATGAACTCACACACTCCCGTCTATTACCACTCAAATTCACTCATTTGGTTCTTCCTCAAACTAACCCAAACTACAAAGAATTAATCAAATTGTAAATGGCAAACAATGTCACAAACAACTTCATTTCCAACAAAAAATTTCAAACAGATTTGGAACTAAATAAATGAGAAACTAGCTCAGCCTACACAATTTTAATTTATGATAGAAAGTTTGACACTAAGATTGATTTGAAAGAATTTTGACAAAGAAAACACAAGCTGATCACAATCACTTAAACAAAAGCTTTCGAAATAGATTGAACAATAATAAGACCGATTTGAATACACCTAATAAAAAAGGAATCATTTTCAAAAAGAAGGAACACAATCCGACTTTCTTTGAATGAATCTAATCACAATCACTTTAGCGCACACATATGACATTTTTAGCTATTTCTTTGAGCAATAAAATTGATTCTTACACACACACACACATTAGTGATTTTAGATCAAGTGATACCGATATGCTATTACCTTTCTTGATTTCATTTTTTTAAATGGCAATACATAACACATCAATTTTTGGTAGCCTTAGGACGATTTCAAGTATAGCGCCACTAGGTTTTTTTTTTTTTTTGGGTAGAAAGAAGATATAGAAGAAATGATTTTTAGAATTTGAGACACTAGACAAGATTTTTAGACTTTAGCACTTTCTACATGTCAAATTGATAAAACAAGAATTGAAAATCACATAAGCTATTTTTTGAATAGTTCGAGAGCAAACTAGTTGTTTTTTTTCTTAAATTGGATATACTCGAATATGAAGGAATTGAGATTAAAAAAAAAAAAACCTCGATTGAAAATTAAGCTCGATACCAATTGATGCAAACTCGTCTAACTCAATGGCTAGAGAACCTACAAACAAGATGATCATACCTTGAAAATTTCTAGTCAAATTCGAGAAGGGAATGGATGCCACACTCTAGAATAAATAGAAAAAAAGTGATAAGTCACTTGAATATCACAAAAATTCATTAGATTCTTGATAAGTTCTGAATTAGTTCTTGAAGGAACTTAGTTGTGAATTTATAACAAAATAATTTTTTGATTCAAAAGTTGTATTCCTAAAATTACATAATATTTTGCCCAAGTAGGATGCTTGAATAATTCAAAATAACAAGGAATTAATGTGTACCTAGGATCTAGCAAAACACCAAAATAGAACAATAATTAAACATTGATTAAGTTTTCCTTAAAGTTAGGCAGCGACACTTTGAATTCGACAGACCATAAATAAGACCCAAATCTTGATGCAAATCGACTTGAAAGTTGATGCAATTTTTGATTTTGAACCAAATTAATTTGGTATAATTAGCAATGCTATTGGTGACCTAAAACATAAAAATAGATGGATGAACTTCAAGTATGGTATGTCTAGCCTAATGGCTTGGATAAAATCCACCAAGACCATTTGATGGTCTTCTAGCCTTTTGACATTGAATTTGGCCCATTTGATTCGAATAAGCCCATTCTAGGTTTCATGGATCCTCTTGGCCCTAGCCCTTATGATTGGGTCCCTTGGAATGGCTAATCTCAAGCCCACAATCGACTCCTTTAGTACTTGGATTCTCATCGGCTAACATGCTTGGCATTTATCAACATGTAGCCATTATGTACCGACAAGTGATAAAAAGCGAATTCCACTCAAAATTATTGAGAAAAAGATGAAAAAATATATAATAAAATGTTGTAGAAATTGGGGAAAAAAAGAAAACCTAAACCTTAATTTTATTTTTGACATAGAAGACTAATTTGACAATGATTATGTTTTGAGAAATTTTAAAAGACTCAAAAAGTAATTAACAATAATTACTATATGAATCTACTCGAAGAGAGAGACAAACTCAAAACAAGAGAGAAAATCACGTTTATAGCATCAAAATGAACGAGAATATTTTTACTAGCTAGGCTCAATTTCTCTCTCTCTCCCTCTCTCTCTCACATTTCTCTCGTTATTTTTTTTATCTATCTATTATGGAGTAGTTACTTTTAAATTTATATAAAACTTATCGTGTGCTTTGATATGGTTTTAAACTATTTTCTTTAAGTTCTCAGTATTTAAGATTTTTCTTGTATCTGTTTTGTGTTAGTTTTTCAAGAAAATAAAATGTGTTATGTATGTATTTCTCTCTTTTTTTTTTTTTTTTTCTTTTTATTGTTAACTCGATGATTTTATTGTTCCTGTTGTTGTTGTCGTTGTTAACTACTATACGGATGTTTTAATTAATAGAAAGTTGTAAATTGGAGTAATGAGGATGAAGTAATAGTAAAGGAGACCTCCACACATGAGTGAAGGCCCTATCAGCGCCGGAGAATTGCCAACTTTCCCTACGTTTTGATTACAATGCTTTTATCGTGTTGATCCAAAACAAACACACCCCATGCATTCCGCAGTTTCGTATGCATAATATAAACTATATAGACCGAAAATATATATTGGAGATAGAATTGAATCAAATCCTTATTTTCCATTTTTGAATTATTAAAACAAAAAAATCGTCAGATCTTATCTTATCCTATCAGTTATTTAGTCCAGTTTAAACTCATTAACTCGTTCAGATAGTTGCTTCTCTCTCTCTCTCTCTCTCTATGTATATATCTACATAAGTATCCTCTCTTCCATCAGTCCTCTTTTTTAAGTCTGCGTAAAATTATTTGTCAAACTTTAAGCTCTCTTAGAACCATTAATCTGTTAAGATGGTGTCTGCTGAAACCGCTCGTAACGTCGTTGGGATTATCGGTATATTTTCTTTAACCTTCTGGCCGCTTTCTAATAACTTTCTCAGGTTGATTTTTTCAAAACTAGCTAGGGTTTTACGCTTTGTTTTGGGTTTGTCTTACTTCTCATAAAATTTTGCTACTAATATTCGTAAACATGTTTTCTTATAATCCGTTTTGTTGATAGGCATTATATATATTTGTTGCTACAGAATATATAAATACAACTTGACTTTTGATTGAGTTTTTTTTTTTTTTTTTTTTTTTGGCAAATTTGGAATTTTTTTCATATGAATTATTCAAGAACATATATTCGATCGCTTACACACTCTTTTATTTCTTACCTTTCTTTATGCTTGGTTTTGCCTTAATTATTTTTTGAGTACTTCCCTTTAAGGTGCATCGTTTACATCCCATATTTGTCACATTCTTTGCATAATTTGGAGATTAATTTGGAAAAAAAAGTCACATCAAATTCTACAAAATATATAAATTAAGTGACATTTATTATTATTTTGCAAATTTGGAATTTATTCATATGATTTATTAAAGATCGCAACATCACCTAACCGTTCTTTTATTTTTTATTTTCTATTTATTTTTCTTGAGAATATTATATTGCCAGTGGTTTATGGTTGTGGAGTTCATATAGCCACCAAATCCATGTTGGTCAATCCAATCTCTCCATTCTAATTTTATAATAAAGAGGTTAACATTGGAGGATTTGGCAAAATTGTCGTGATCAACTTTTATTTTCTTCAACTTCTTGAACGAAAAAATGATTTAATTGCTAGAGGATTAAAGTTTTTTTTAATTATTCATTGAAAATATGGAAGAAAGGAGACGTACTCAATAAAATAGAAAGAGCTATTTAATGAAATTATTTTTATGTTTATTAAAAAAAAAATTATTTTCATTATTTATCTTTGAAAGAGAGACGGTGGAGGGAGAATGGAAGAATCCAGGTATAAGACTTTGTGAACGAGTAAAACAAAGAAAGAGTTTCTGTGTATTTAAAATAAAATGTCATCAAAAAATGGTAGATATAAATTTTTTTTTCTATTTTGAAATTAAATAAATAGAACTTATATAAGTTGCTTTCAACGGTTTTTTTTTTCCCAATTAATTTAGCATAAATCATTATATAAATGGTTGCTATCAGATCAAATTGATTCTTTGTTTATTTTAAAGTTAAATGTTTGATGAATGTGAAATATTTACCATGAAGATTTGCTCTCCTATTTATAACCTTTTTTTTTTTTTGCAGGGAATATCATCTCCTTTGGCCTATTTTTATCCCCAGTGTACCATCTCAGACCTTACATATGTTCATTTATTATATCCATATTCAATGCATTTACACTTGCATGTATAAGTGTAAATATGTTTATCAATATCATAAATATATCTCCATTTATTATATGCATGTATTTGTGCATGCATGTTTGAGTGTATATATATATTCATTTATTATATGCATAATCAATGTATTTATGCATGCAAGCATACATATGCTCATCAAAATCATTGCGTTTGGGAATGAGCTTCTTCCTTTCATTTTTGTTTTCAATCGAGGCAATTTTTTTCTTTTTTTTTTTTTTTAAAATTTCCTTCATGTAACAAAGTATTTTCAATTAATATTAAGTTTCAGAACTTGAAAAAATTGCAAATCATTTTATCAAGCAACATATAGAAAGCATTTTGAGCTCAACACCATCGACCGATCGATACCACCTTCTTCCACACACACAAGAAAAACACAAATGTTTTATTTATAACGTGACAAACGCAGGCAGTGATCCTTTATATAGCACGATAAATGCAAATTACTTAGTCATACATATATGTAATTTTCTTTCTTTATGTGCTGGCTTAACATTTGTACAAAATATTGGATGCAGTCCAACATTTTATCGCATTTGTAAGAAGAAAGACGTGGAAGAGTTTCAACCTTATCCTTATGTCGTAACGGTGATGAACTGCTTGTTCTGGATTTTCTATGGCTTGCCTATTGTTAAACCGGACAGCATTCTTGTTGTCACCATTAACGGTGTTGGTCTTGTGCTCGAGTTGATCTACTTGACCATATTTTGCATTTTTGACAAGCAGAATAAGGGACGGGTAAGTTACAGATTTTTTCCCTTTTTCTAGTTTTAGCTTCTGCCCTTTTGGTTTTAACATTTTTTTCTTTCATCTTCTCTCTCTTTCTTACCAGAAAAAGGTCGGTCTTGGGCTTACTGTCGAAGTCGTTTTCATGGCAGCTATTATTGTAACCACTTTGGTTGCCTTCCACACTCATGAGAAAAGAACTCTTTTTGTGGGAATTTTCTGTGACGTTTTCAACGTTATGATGTACGCTTCACCTCTTGCTATAGTCGTAAGTCTCTATTGATCACATGACATTGCATGACCTAATTTCCTCTTTCTGATATTGATGTTATAAAGAATATTCATACTTAGAGGGAAAAAAAAACATTTCTCTCTAAATCAACACTATTTTCTTCATATCCACAGAAAAAGGTTGTGACTACGAAGAGTGTGGAATTCATGCCGTTATACCTTTCACTGGCCAACTTCCTAAATGGCTGCGTCTGGACAGCTTATGCTCTCATCAAATTTGATATCTTCATATTGGTAATTAAATTTCTGCAAATATTCTTAATTGGTATGGCTAGGTTGGTCTGAATCATCAACGAAGTTGATCTAACTATATCCAATCAATTTGGTGTTTGCAGGTCAGCAATGGCCTTGGAGCTCTATTTGGTTTTCTCCAGCTTGTCCTTTATGCCTGCTATTACAAAACCACTCCTAAACATGGTAGTGATGTAGTGAAGCCATCTGAGATCCAGCTCCCTGCTTCAAATGCAGCATCTAGAGTATGAGGCATGCTCTGTTCGATCCAACAAGACCCTACCCTTGAGCTTGAAGTTCCAGTTTTTGTCTGCATTAGGTTTTATTTAATCAATTTCTCTCTTACATTGCGCACATTTGGATTGTCGGGGATGTATATGCTTTACATTTTTGGTTGGGCTAAAACGTTTATGTATTTGTTTCAAGTTCCTTCCAGATTTCCCTCAATTAAAATGTCAAGTTATGGCTTTTTTTGTTTTTTTAATTTGTAGTTCCCTTTAATTTTAGTTTCTTCACTCCAAACATTAAATAGAGTAATCAAAAGTACGTTCAAATCTTGGAAGAGGCTGCATGAAAATATTTTACCATTCTGCAAGTGAAGTCCTGCTTAGGAGCACTGGGTTGGGAAGATCCCTAGTCTCAAACAGAGAGATAGTACATTTTGCTTTTGCAAGACTATCATTAACTACAAACCGGTTAAGATTTAGCATTATAGTTTAATTATCAAATATCCTGTCTTTCCAATCCAAGTAATTGTAAAGAAACAATTACATATAATAATATTCATGACCCAACCAATGCCAAATCATATACACATAGAATTTCTAATTTCCCTACAACTAATCACGCCTAAATCAAATCAAAACTCTGTCAATGATCAAAGAAACAGTTACATGTCATGTACTGAGCTTTGCGATCATCTCCTCCACTAGCCTATTTGTTCCCATTACTTGTTCTCCTTCTGCATCAATTTCCTGCATAATCTGTTCTACAAGTTCATATTTTGATTGTTTAGCTCTCGATCGATAACTTGAACAGTCCCTCAAAAGCAGCAATAGTTGTTTGGCTTTCTCTTTGGCCCTGCGTGTTCCATCCACACTCAACTGAAGCAGCCCTGGCATCACTCCTTCCCTTAAAATCAATCCTCTGTATTTATCTCTGCAGCTCTGGCATATGAGCAGGAGAATTCCCACTGCATGCTCTTTGCATTGGGGACTACCTTCTTCAATTGTTTCTACGAACGCCCGAATTGCGCCTCCTGAACCAGCAGTTTGCGCTAGTGCATTCTCTGATGAAGTGACGATATCTTCAAGAAGTGCCATTGCCTTGTCAACCAACTCTGAGGACTTTCCGTATCTGTGAATAAGATGAAGCAAGGTGAAAACTACACCGGAGGAAACTATTGATGGAACAATCTGGTGGCAAGTTGAGAGATTGTGGAGAGTTGCTACAGCGTCAAGCTTGGCCTGCATGCTAATGTTGTTCGTGTCATCATATTCTCTTCCGAGGATTTCTACAAGGACAGAAATAACCCCAGAAGCCGCAATTGCGAGCTTGTTCGCCCCGCAAGAAGAGATGACCAAGAAAGATGCCATTATGAGTTCCATTGGTGACTCGTTTGGACATTGGAGGAGCTCCAGCAGCACAGGTATCGTCCCCAATTTCACGATTCGGATCTTATTTCTGCAAAATTATTATGTTTAAGCATCTATTGAATTTTTTTCCAGATTCTGCTACATTTTGTTGTTCCCATAAAGATGACTACAGTGTTTAAATTTCTACTACTAGTGTTTTTTGGCCATTCTGATTAGGCCAAAATGCAATCAATTAATAATAGTCACAACTCACCAGTGGGAGGTCACATTTCCCAAACGGTTGTTCCTTACAACTAAACAAAGAGCATTTGCCCACAAAAGTCTTGAGCTTTTTATAGCAAGCATGCCCCATTCTATTCGGTAAACAGATAAAGGTCATGTGCAAGATATCTTTTTTTTTAAGCAATACATTCAATATATATTTATACACATTGAACAAACAAAATTGTATGAGATTTGAAAAGCAACAATAGACTGACCTTTCATTGCCAAAAGCAAGGCTGAGCAAAGCAAAGAGAGCAGCTTCAATGGCTTCATAATCTTGAGACTGGAGCATTGAAATCAAAGGAGCAATAACTCCTCGTTCAGCTAACTTATGTCTTTGCTTAGTATTAAGTTTTCCAAGTTCAGTGGCAGCCTGAATCCTCACTTCTCTCCTACCATCGCAAAGATTTTGTACTAAAAATTCCTCCATTATATCTCTGTTTCTTTGTGGAACAATAAGATGCTATAGCTAGTATTATATCGTCAAGGAGTGAAGTTGATATTGGTATTGGCGGACGTTGCTTGAGAATGTGATGTTAGTCTTTTGTGGGCATCCATTGTTTCATGTTGAAGCAACTTCTTGTTCTTTATTCAGCCTTTTCTCGAATGTCTGTTTGGAAATACAACAACGATTCCTAAGAGTGAATCTTTAACTTTCCTTTCAGAGAAGCAAGTGACTTTTATTTTTTGGTAGGTTAATATGCTGAGATTTTCTTGCGCTTTTTATGTTTTTCCTACTCCACTGTATGGCAAGTTGTTTCTAATATTATGTGTATGGATCTTCTTGGGATTTTCTTAAATTGACTTGGGGAGTTTCTATATTCTTGCCCAGAAAATAGTTTTTTTTTTTTTTTTCAAGAAATAATAGATATTTATTTGTTCCTGTTTGAGTGAGATTGATTCAAATCACTTGAGTGCCAATATGGATTTTGGAGTTGACTAAAATTTTTGTCCGTCATGTTTGTATTTGTCTAGAAACGAAAAAAATCTGCATGTATCAGATTTGATAACAAAATGTTTTGTCCATGTTGACACTATAGCACCGTATGGGACCTGCTCTGCTATGCCTAAAAGATAAAAGAGAAAAAATGGATAAGGATAATAAAGATAGAGAGCTTAATTTCATATATCAGAAGTTGAAAAGTTGAGAAACGGAGGATCTCCTCGTAAAAAGTAACCCTGATGACTTGGATAAATGCAGGCTCTGGTAAAGAACACGAGACGACGAATGAAAGAGTCCAAATGATAGGAAGTGGCACAGAGCAAGGTAAGAATATTTAGTACTGGAACTGAAAGCAATCAATAGAGTAACAGATTCTCAGCACTGAAAAGAGGGATTTGACAATTAACGTGTCAAGTGATCATTAGTTATGATACTGTAATTTTTCATGGAATCTGTCTGCTTTTCTATCAAGCGCTATACGGCGGCATTGTCTTTACTGAAAAATGCTTCTCTAATTTTCAGAACGATCCCTGTTCCATTAGAAGGTGATATCAATGCCCCACTTGTATCTTTCCTCCTTTTCCATATGCTTTAATTTGATTACTAGATATTGGTGAGTTACACAGACTAATATAGATGAGTACTCATAATATACAATGTTATACAGATTTAATACAATGGTTTTTTTATTTAGTTAACGAACAGAGATCAAGAAAGCAATGCCCTTTGCAAAGATTTGAGGCGAAGCTTTTAAAATATCTATAAAATATTGAATTAGATGTATAAACTTATTAAGTTTTTTTTTTTTTTTAATTTTTTATTTATAGTATAAATAAAAACAACATTACTTACATATGCAATCGTCAATTGACAAAATCTAATAATAAATCTTAGTATAACAGTAAAATAGGTGCTATCACTGAACCTATCAAAAAGTTTTTAATCATGTTTAATAACATGTGTTTGATTTATTTAATTGCTAAGAAGTTTGATGTTGGGGATGATTCTACTAGAAATATAGCTCAAAATTTGTGAGACTTCCTATTAACATTTGCATTTGTGACACAAGTAACAACGAAACATCCTCCTTCTCACCTTGAATCAAAGATTCAATGATTGGTAACAATGGGAGATAATAATGTAAAGTAATTTTAAATTTTAATATTTTAATGCATTTGTTTGGAGTGTCCTTGGAACTTATTTGGGATGGAAAAGGGTTAGATATGCATCCATTTGACCTTTTTCAAACCCGAAATCCTTTACTAAACCTATACTGATCATGCCCGTTTAAAAAAACCACTAAATTCCCATATATAACCAAACAAATCGAACCGGCATACCCATGGATACCTATCCCACTCAAATATCATGTTAAAGCCACAACAAAGGATATGTAAATGAGTAACATTCTGGTATTGGATATCCCATGTTTGATACTGATTTATTTTTTTCGGTTTAGGTATTTATAATACCCAAGCTTTTCACCTCCTTCTTCCTTTCAATGGTTGCATCCCATGTGGCATAATTTTTATTATTTGTAGTTAAGTCCCAAAACAAATCAATGATAAAGCCATAGATTTATTCACATCCTCTAGCCTTTTAGCTTGTAAAAGTACATCTCTGTCATAACTTGTAGATCCTCCAACACCCATCTTATATCTTAACTTCCTCAAATCTTCATCAATACTCAATGTTATGTTGTGCCTTGTACTAATCCAGACAAGACTTGATTGAATCAAGCCCAACATTGCACTATTCTTTATGTAATTTTGAGGGATATATCTGAGTTTTTAGAGTCTGGCATAATGTTATCCTCTGTCTAGGTTGCTCATGCTCAAGTAGATGTTAGCTATGGATATAGATTTAAGCGTCAAATTTATTAAATAAATATTTAAGACACAATTACATGACTTATATGCATTCATATATCTCGTCCAAATAAATTAATGGCAACATTATAAATTTAACTGGTCCATACGTAGTCCAAGAAGAGGAAAGGTTTGAATACCTTTGATCCATACAAATTACATGAGATGCTTAGCATATTGTTTACATTCAAAATAACTGATCTTTCTAAAATAATATTATAAATATTAATATTAAAAAAAATACTTATACATAACAATTTCAAAAGTATCGGATTGAAGTTTGAAGACAATACTCAAACACTTGTTAATAAGATGTAATGGATAGGTTTCTAATTCAGAAATAAGTTTGTAACTTTTTAGAAGATGTTTTAAAGCATTAACTCAAGGGTAACCACTCTTTTATTGCATGTACTATAAAAGGATTATATGTCTTATTTAGTATAGGTATTTTTTGGTTTATTTGAGTTGAATTCTTTGTAAATTATCATAAATAAGGATTTCCTTATTAAGAGCTGACTTTTAGGGTCTCTTTGTTTATTTTTCCTTGATGGACAAGTAGTATCTAGGCCATAAACTAGAATATAAGGACAATTATGTTTATGGTATTCTTTCAAACAAACTTTTAACATAATTGTTTTCTCAATCTCAATATTATATAATTTATCTTTCTTAACACCTCTAGTATTTAGTCTTTATGATTTACATTCATAAGTTTGTTGTTTTCTTAATAACTTTATTTATTACTTTTCTTTACAAGCTTTTGTTATTGTTTGATTTATTTATTTTCTTAACATTTGTTGTCACCCAATTTTTGAACCATTTTCTTTATTTTATAAATTTTTGCTTTTTGGTTATGATTTTTTAAAAATCTCATGATTTTTGTGAGCTAAAAGAATTAACAATTTTTTTTTTTTAAAGGAGGAGATAAATAGAGAAATTGGGATTTGGGATCCAATTAAAAAAGATAAGGAATTAGGACATGAAAATTTAATTGAAAGCTTAATTGAAATAATTCCAATTAAATGTGAGTTTAAAGAGAAAATGAAGAGATATCATTAGGAATTGAGAAATGAAGAAAAGAGAAGGGGAAATAGGGTTTTTCTCCAAAACCCTAACAACCTCACTATAAAAGCCTATCTTTTTCTCTCGAGAATGGGGGTAACTATTCATCTCTCGGAGAGGGGGTAACTATTCATTTTTTCACACAAAAATACCTAGAATAATAAAATCTCTATAGCCAATATCACTCAAGACTCAACACCCATCATTAAAAATCATCATCCAAAACACAACCCCAACTCTTAAAACTTCCATAATCATCGACCACAACCCCCAAAAACACATAAAAAAAAACTTCAACCATACCAACTTTTACCTATTGTCGATGTCGTTATCGTCCAGTCCTTCTTTGTTGTTGTTGCTGCTATCTAACCCCTTTTTGCATCTCTAAGTCACCCAAACAGTCTCTTCTTGTTGCTGCAACCCCCACAATCTAGCCTTTTATTGCCACCACTATTTAATAGCCTACAAGCCACCTAACACAACCACTCATTCACCCAAAACATGTTTCGACGAGCCCTCAAGTAGCCTCCTATTGTTGCCATGATCTAGCTCTCTCTTTTGCCTTAATAAACCCACCAAACCTATAGCCAACAACCTCATATTGTCAACACTATCTAGTAGGTCCTCATAGCTCTAAACAGACCTTAAAACAACCCCAAACAACCACAAGACCATTCTAAAGCCACCCCAAACTAAACCCAAACCTCCCATTAGTTAAACCCAAAATCATCCTTAACATCCTAAGTCTAAATCTAAATTAAAGAAAGATGATGATGATTTTGATTAAGGGTTAGTAGATTTAGTTCAAAATACTCTTCAACTTTCAATTAAGAGTAAGCAAAGAAAGAAAGAAAGATTTGATTTGTTGAAGTTAACCTTCGTTCTTCTTTCTCTAGTTGACAACATTGTTTGTCTTCATTGGAAGGTGAAGAAGGCGAGTAAAGAAGGGAGAAAGAAAGAAAATAACCTTGACTTGTAGGTGTTAACCTTTCCTCTTAGGTCGATAACATCATTTTTTCTTTATTAGAAAGTTGAAGAAGGTAACACTGTCTCTTTCCTACTCGTTGAAGATCGCTGGAAAGATTAAGAATAATTCCAATGACTTTAGGAACCAAATTACCATTGAAGGAAGATCCGGCATTTAGCCTATAATGGTAGCCATGACACTCCTAGAATAAGTAGTTTAGTCTTTGTGATTAATAAGGTAAGCTTTTGATATTTTTACATTGATTTTATGTTTAATCGAATTCAAATGCATATGAATGAATGTTACGAATGGTTATGATGCCTACGGATTGAATTTGAGATTCAAAGTATCATTTAGATACATCATTACGTATCAAACCTAAAAAGATTTGAGACCTTGAGTATTTGAAGGAGAAATAAGGTTGGTGTTCAATGCTCCGTGATAGGGTTGAAAGGAATAGCCATAGGCTTTAATTCTAATAGTTTATATGAAGCAAATTTCGATCCCAATGTATGTAATTGAGCATGATTATTTTGCTTATATGGTGCGATTGATTAATATGATGTTCATGCCATGTTGTTTGTATGGTATAACCTCCTTAATGTGATGTGTGGATATGATGTATCAATCGATGCTAACTCTAACAGCTTAATACCGCACTTGTAATTAATTAAATGTGATATGTGAATGCAACAAATTTGTCGGGGTTAGCTTTAAAAGTTGATGTTGCATTTGTGTTGAATTAAGCATATTATATGAGGGATGTGTTAATTTTATTAGGGTTAGCTTTGAGAGATAACACCGTATTTACATATAATTGAATGTGAAACCCAATCTTGTGCTTACCGACTATAATCATTAGGAACTCACTAAATTTTATGTTTACGGGCTATAGCCATTAGGGATTGACCAAATTTTATGTTTACAAGCTATAGCTATTAAAGACTTGCTAAATTTCGTGTGTTATGGGTTGCAATCATTAGAGGACTTGCTAATCTTCTATTTATAGATTACAATCATTAAGGACTCACTAAATTTTGTATTTTATGACTGCATTCATTAGGGACTCATCAAATCTTGTGTTTATGGGTTACGATCGTTAGGGAATCACCAAATCTTGTGGTTTATGGGTCGTAGTCATTAGAGACTTGTCAAATTTTATGTTTATGAGCTATAATCATTAGAGACTCATTAAATCTTATGTTTATAGGTTGTAGTCATGAAGGACTCAATAAATATTATGATTTCATCGGCTATAGACATTAGGAACTCACCAAATTTTATGTTTATGGGCTACAACTATTAAAGGCTCACCAATCTTATGTTTACGGGATGCAGCCATTAGAGGCTCACCAATCTTGTGTTTATGGGTTGCGGCCATTAAAGGCTTATTAGTTCTTGAATATCTTATCTTTTTACTTTTAGAGTATGAAAATAGGCTTTTGATCGACCTAAATCATAAACTACTTAATCAACATTTTCTAATAAGATGAATTCACTCAAATAGGCATAAACTTATAAGATAGTAAAAAAAAACATTTAGTTCCCATATGAATGCAATGCGACCTACCTCAACTAGTGTCGTTACTCGACGTCGGACGGGACTCCTCAAAATAAAAAAAGAATATAGATAGATACGAGTACGGCTCTCAATGTATCGATTTTTATTTACGTAACTATTTGCGAGTTTGGAGTCGCCACCTAGTATTGAAGGAACTAGGAACCTAAAATTGACACTAGTTCGGAGACTCTATGGTAAGGAGTTGGTTACGCTTATGGGAAGATAATTAATCACCCAAAAATGCCCTTTCTTGAGAAAGGTACCACGTCTAGCTTAGTCTCAAATTATCTCCTAAAGTATTTTATTTTTGTCAAATTATTTTTTTCAATTTTTGAGACTCCAATTCAAGTCAAATTATTTTTTGTATTTTTGAGAGTGGCATCGTATTGAAATGATCGTCGGACCCCTTCCATCGGGAGACATGTCGGTTCAAACATCGGATCCACTTTTTTAGTCTCGACACAACCGTTGTGCCGGAGAACACTTTTTTATATAAAAAAATTAATAATAATTTTGGCTAACAACGATCCTTATCGGATAGGAAACTTTGTTAAAAAGTTTTATGATTTTTTTTGTTATTTTATTTTTCTTTCTTTATTTTATTTTTTATTTTTATGAAAGATTGTCATCGATCCCTAAAAACTTAGGAGACTTGATAATCTTTCACTTATTACTTACCGAACCTAATTACTAAACAAATAAATTAAAGCTACATGAATAAAAAAATTAAAATACTAAAATTTAAATTAATAACGAGCATGCATAAAAGAAATTGAAATTTAAAATCACATTAATTAACATATTTACGGAGGATTAAAATGTTAAATTCCAAATTAACATAAATTAACAAACATGCATAAAATAAACTCCAGATTAAAAAATACAATAATTAAAATAATTAAAAACAAATCAATAGCTAACTTTAAGATTAAATAACAATATCCATAAAAAAATTTTTTTTGTGGGTCGGACTATCCAACCCACCCAAATGCGACATTTCGGGTCGGCCAATCTAGCCTCATCTCAAATGAGTTTGGGCTCACTTAAAATAAAAACTAATTTTTTTTTGGCCCAAAAACACAACCCAAATCTAGGCTTTTAAAATTTTGGATCGAACCCATTTTTTTTTATTTTCCTTACTCTTTCTCTTTCTCGTTTTTTCCTTCTCTCTTTTTTCTTTCTTTTCTTTCTTCTTCTTCCTCCCTCTCTTGACCGAATCCAACCTCCATGGACGAACCGGTTATGGTTCATCCCTTGCCGCCCCTTTTTCTTCTTTCTCCTTCTTCTTTTCTTCCTCTCTTTCTTATTCTTCTTCTTCCCTCTTTACCGCTCTCTCTCCTCTTTTTTTTTTTTTTTTAAAAAAACGATGCTTGCTGCCATGGATGAACCAGTGGAGGTTCATCCATGGCAGCCTAATTTTGCCCTTTTCTTTCTTTCTCTTCACCTCTCTTTCCTTCTTTTCCTTGCTCAATAAAAAAACCCTAAATCAATTTTTTTAAAACAAAATCCCCAATTGGCCGAACCTAAGTTTTGATTTTTCTTCCAAATTTTCTTTCAATTAGACCTAATTGACTTGATTTCAAGTCAATTCACACTTTAGAACTCAATTTTATCAAAACCCCAAAATCAATTTCGTTTTCAAAAAAAAAAAAAAAATAAAGAACCCTAAACCGAGTTGAAATCAATTCAGCTTCAATTTGGGGTTTAAACCCCAAATTGAAACTCCAATTGAGTTTAATTCGTCCTCACCAACCCCGATTTCAAGTCAATTTCAAAAATCCTCAAAATTCGGGACTAGCCTAAATTAACAATCAAAAGAAATCCGAATTCAAAGCAAAATTGGATTGATTACCTAAGAGGATGGAGATGAATATGGATTGATGCTTCAAGAGGTAACTTTTGTTTCTCTTTTTTTGGATTTTTATTGCAGCTCAGTTTCCTTTTTGTTGATTTTGCTTTCAATTTCGGGCTCCTTAATTCTTGATTGTTTGTGTTTTTTCTTTTTTTGTTGTTTATATATATGTGTGTGTGTTTTTTGAATGCTTAGTTGGTTTCCCCACTATGATGGTGGGGCATTTTCTGCGGGTTTGTCAAGTGGGGAGGTTGGATGGGATTGGTTTTGTGTGTGGTGGCGGTGGTGAAATTGCTGAAAGTAGAGGAGGTTATAGGGTGATCGTCGTAGAAGTTTACAGCAGTAGAGGGTGCTTAGAGGTTAACTTTGGGTGATGAGGGAGCCGTTGAAAATTTACGGCAATAGGGTGGCTAGCTTGATATTGTTTTGGAGGTGAGAATATGTGCGGGAGCAAGTTTTTGGCTTCCAGCCCCTCTCCGCAGAGGGTGAGGTTGAGGGCTTTAAAGGAGGATGGCGATTCTCTGCCAGCTTGCAAGCATGGCGAGAATCGGAGGAAGTTGGGTGAGGCTGCAAGAATTGGGGGATTGTACTGGAGATTGCTTGGATATAGGGAAGTTGTCTAGAGGTGGGGGCAGCTGCTATTGTTGACTTGGGAGGAGTGGGGCAGCATGGTAAGGTCTGCAGAAATTATTGACTTGGAGGGGTCGTGCTGCAAGCTGCAATTTATAGCATGGTGAGGTCGCAGGAATTACGGGGATGGGGGATTGCAGGAATTGGGGCGTTGGAATTGTTGACTTGGAGGGGCTGTAGGAATTGCAAGGATGGGTTTCGGCTTGAGTAGAAAAACGATTTGGGGAATTGTCCAGTGTAGCTAGGAAATATTGGAAAATTGTAAAGGGAATGGAGGGAACTGTCCCTTCATCTCTTCTCTTTTTTTTTGTTTGTTTTGATTTTTACAAAAAAATGAGAATGAATAATTAAAAAAAAAACTAAAATAAATGAGTAAAATTTTGGGGTATGACAGTTGCCCTTCTTTGCAATGCTCACGGTGTAAACGTTAACCGAAATGTAAATTTCAAGTTGAGTTTGTTTAGTGAGTTTGCAAAGACGAAAATATAAGAAAAATAAAAATGACCTAGTTGAGGATGGAATGTCCGCATGAATGCAATGACTTAGAAAAAAACATAGTGCAATAGCTTTTTGTTAAGGGCAACCAATCTTGAAAATTAAATGTGTAGTGCGTACATGGTCAACTTAGAGGGCGACCAACCCCGAAAAACTAAAAATGCATTGCATGATCAACTTGGAAGGCGACCAACCTTGAAAAATTAAATATGCATTACAAGGCTAACTTGGAGGGCGACCAACCCCGAAAAATTAAAAATGCAATACACAACCAACTTGAAGGGTGGCCACTCGAAAAATTAAATATGCATTACATGGTCAACTTGGAGGGCGACCAACCCCGAAAAATTAAAAATGCAATACATGGCTAACTCGGAGGGCGACCAACCGACCAACCCTAAAAAACTAAATATGCAGTACATGGTCAACTTGGAGGGCGGCCGACCCCGAAAAACTAAATATGCGATACATGATCAACTTGGAGGGTGACCGATCCTAAAAAATTAAATATGCATTACATGGTCAACTTGGAGGGCAACCAACCCCGAAAAATGAAATATGCGATGCATGGCCTTATTGTAAAGGGCGACCTACCCCGAAAATTAAATATGCGATGCGTGACCTCATTGTAAAGGGCAGACCTATCCCGAAAATGAAAAGATCATTAGGCAACCTTGCCTAAGCGATGAATTAAATTAGGCAACTCTGCTCGAAAATGAGAGAAATGAGAAGATCATTAGACAACCCGATCTATGACGATGAGCTTAAATTAGGCAACTCTGCTTGAAAATGGAGAAGTCAATAGGCAACACCGCCTAAATGATGAATTAAGTGAGGCAACCTTGCCTAGAAACATATCGTTAGGTAACCTTACCTAACGATTGACTAAATAGGCAACTTTGCCCGAAAAATGAGATGATCATTAGGCAATCCTACCTAAATGATGAACTAAAATTAGGCGACCAGCCTTAAAAAAGATCGTTAGGTAACCCTACCTAAACGATTGACTAAATAGGCAACTCTGCCTAAGTAATGAGAAGATCATTAGGTAACCCTACCTAAATGATGAGCTTAAATCGAGCAACTTTGACTCGAAAATTGAGAAATCATTGGGCAACCCTACCCGAAATTATTGAGACCACCTTGCCTAAAAGAATGATTTATTATGAGGTGACCCCGCCTCAAGAGTTATTATTAGGCAACTTTGCCTAAACGATGAGTTGGATTTGGCAATTCACCCAAAATGGATGGTCCGGGCAAATGTGAGCCCTCTTTTTGAGTTTTGAGCTTGAATGATTGTTCCATCTTTTTATTTGAGCTAATATTCATAAAACGCATTAACAAGATTGACAATGAATGATTAGTTTCTTACTTGAGAGAAACATAGGCTACTCCGCCTTGTCGGCATTCAACTTCCCCTTTGGTGTCTTGCCTCGGACTTCAGTACTGGAGCGCATCCCGCAGCATCGTCAAAGTTTTTTCGTGCCCCCGACTTAGATCACCGATCCTTGTGAACTTGAGTCTTTTTTCTTCTCCAACCAAACTAAGGTAGACTCGCTATGATTGTTTGTCAAAGCTTGATTGAGTCCTTATCCTCCCTCCGGAATGCTCTTTGCCCCCTTGCTCGATGGTATTAACTCGCTTTGATTTATGCTCAACAATTCACTATTCATGCCTCTTATTACTTCGGACAGGCATAATGATGCTATTGTTTGATCAGCTTGTTGAACTCAAATGGAGCCGCCGAGTCCTTGGTCTTGCCTCCAAGTGTTGGTCGAGAACAAACATTTGTTGTTCTCTCGATAAAATCATGACTTGTGTTCAACTCGTTTGGCTTCGAAGCTTGCAACACAATTTACAAATTGGTCTTGAAATTTTTGTCATCTTGACCTTGAATAGACATTTGGATTTTTATGAATCAAGCCATATACTTGAATGATACTCTTAATACAATTTAGATTACTTGAACAAAATGTAGAGATGTTCCAATGAAAATACTTTCATTCACGAAAACGTTGAAGTTGATTGATTAGAAGTCAAAACATGACATTCAAATGCTATGATGCAATTTCCTCAAGGCGTTTAGGCTAGGCAAAAAAAAAAAATGTTTAGATTGCGCAAAGTTTGTGTGGAAGCAGGCATTTGATGCTCTTGAAGGTAATTGGTCCATGATAAGTCCATTTTGGGTAGAAGAAAAAAGTTTGAGCGGAAAGTATTTTGACAAATTGGTTTTGACGAGATAATTTTGCCGGAGAAAATTTTGATTCTGTTTAGTTTGTCCCTAAATTATTTGATGAAAACTCAAGATTCGATGTCATAAAAGATGACAAACAAGTACACCGACCGATCATATTTTCTTGTTTCTCTCAATCACTTTTTTTTATATTAGAATCCAACAACCTAAGCAAACTACCTTTGATCGAAAGGGCTTGTAAAAGCACGTAATGTAGGCTATGGCATCGAGCTTATGAAGAAGATGATATAGACTCTCAAAAAGTGTTTTGAGGATTTCATGACATAGGATCACTTTGTCATCCATGAAAATCTCTTTAGGCAATGCCGTTTGTACTTTGTCATTTTAGCCGTTAGAAAGGACTTTGTCATTTTGATCGTTGACTTTAATCCTAGCCGTAACTCTCTTTGTTTGTTTGCTCGAACTCGACTCCTATCTTGACTTAATTTTTGTATTAGGGAAGTCTTCTTCTTTGTTTCTTTCATTTTTTTATTCCCCTTCATATTTTTTTCAGAATCATTGATGAGATTCTTTTGACGATGCATTTTTCGCAGTTTAATTGATCATTCATGGATCGTACATTCGCCCTCGGTGTGAGGGGTGATCCTAGTCCGGGTTATCATGTAAGAAATCATTAGGATCAAAGTGGGACGACAAAGGATAAAAATTATGTGAGATATATGAAAGATGACATTTTCTCATCTCAAAGACCGATTTGTCTATGCCATTAGACACTAATCTCTTTTGAATAACGATGATTAATTGAGAGAACCTTAGAAAAGAAGCAATGATGAATGTTATATGAGATCATGACTTGAAGATATACCGTTCACCATTATTTAAGACATCAATCATTGAGCCTTTTCGTTGGGCTTCACGATGCTTTCTTCGGTAACATTTGTCCTTCATGGGTTTAGTTTGGGACGGGATAAAGAATGAATTTTTTTTTTTTGCCTTTGGGTTTTTGGTTTTTTTTTTTAAAATTGAGGATTGCCCCCATTACTTTCTCGCTCAAAAAGGTTATTAGGAAGGATGTATAATTGGCTTGAAGAATTATCTCTAGCATATATCTATCATGCTTTGAATTTTGATCAATTTTTTACAAAATTTTTTTTGAATAATTTGCCATTATGCTTCCTTGATGAAGAAAGATGCAATGCCAAAAATTACTTTCAAATGGACATCTCTTGATTTCATATCGTGTAATATAAAATTGCAAAAGAAAGTAGAAACATTCTTTTAGTCACGGATACGACTCAATTCACACATCACCAAAATATTTAAGAAAATAGTAATCAAAACCAAGCTTGCAAATTGTGAACATGGATCATCTCCATAGCTTTCGGACTCCCTCGGTCTCCTCATCCGTGTGGTTTGGAAGTGGGTTCGTGTTTTCATTAGGAGCATGCACACCATCTGTCAAAACCGATCCAACCTTGCTTCATTAGGTCCAAAAACCTCTTCTTAAAGGCAGGATAATCAATAATGTTATGCCCCGCAGACACCGAATGATATTCGCATCTCTCGTCTTGCTTGTACCATGGAGGATAAGGAGGGCGCATGGGGTTTGTGGGGATTGGAGTGATCCGTCCAATGCTTACTGTGTGTTCAAACATTCCACCCAATAAAAGAGGCAAAATTGGTAGTTGTTCAAGCTCCGTTTTGTGGTCTTGGTTGTTCGATGAAAATGGTTATGTGGTGTTTGCGGGTTGTTAAAATTTGATGGATTTGGGAAATGCATATTAGCTTGAGGGAATTGATTTGCTCGGTAGATTTGGTGGGACATATGGAAGGGATTCATTTGACTTGGCAGGTATGTTTGGTTCATGGCATTCATTGGATTTGGGTCGTCTTAGGTAAATGAAGGTCTTTGGGGCTACTCGGAGCCACCATGATTTTCATATTTTTCTCGATTACTCCTTCGATTCTTGGTTTGATAAGATCTAGTCTCAACTTGGTGTATTTCACTATCTCGCCCCTTTGGTACCACTACTCCCTTTTGTTTCGAGCCATCGAGAATTTTTTAGCTTTAATCGCTTGTTCTACCTTCTCGGCTATAATAACAATATTAGTAAAATTAGAGGAAGAGCTTCCAATCGGATACTCAAAATACGGTGTCCCGAAAGTGTTTGAGAAGGTAGCGATCAACTCCTGTTCGGTAGTGGCGGATAAATCCGTACTCGCCACCTCACGCCATCTTTGAGCATACTCCTTAATGGTTTCTTTTGTGCCTTTCTCCATGTTTTGCGGATCGGATCCGTTTGGGGCTACCTCCGGGTTAAATTTGTACTCGCTTGATGAAGGCATCAACTAAATCCTTCCATTTCTTAATTTTAGCTCCGTCTAGCCTCATATACCAACTCAAAGCGGATCCTCCTAGGCTCTCATGAAAGAAGTGTATCGGCAGCTTCTCGTCGTGTATAACCTCAACCATCTTACTACAATAAACCTTGACATGGGTCATGGGACACCGAACCCCGGTG